AAAATGAGCAAGGACTTAATTTCCAAAGGATAGGAAAACTTCTCCCTACTAATGCTAATTTAACTTGACACTTAGAAAATTTCCCAAAATCAAACATAAGCTTGGCTAGGTTAGGGAAATTAGAACATAACTAGACCGAACTTACTCAATTTCGGTCCCGGCTCAACTTCGACGATCAATTCAAATATTTGGACTTCCAATAATACGTCGACTTGAACTTTTAATTCCGAAAATAATAATCGACAATGTTATTATATCGGAACTAAAACATTATTTATATAAATAAACTGAATGACTTGCTTACCAATACCTTAAACATGACCATTACTTACTTAACGATGGACGGTGTCCCAATGTGAACGCGTCACAGTATAGGTTAACCGAACTTGACATGAGGAACTTAAACTGGATTAACTATCGGAATATTATTCCGAACATGAATACGACATTCGAAAGTTAATCCGAATATCCTTAACTTATTAATTCCAAACTCATTAACTAATTAAATGAATTGGAATTAAATCTGAGAACTTATCCGGTTACTGAAATTATTAACCGAATAACTTATCGACTAATAGTCGAACTTGAAATCTGATTGACTGAATTGCTTGACCTTGAACATGAACATAACTATTTATTAACAAAGGCTAGCTTAATATTAAAAGCTAGTATTTTCCTTTATTAATAAACTCGGGGCGTTACATAAACTGTATGGAAACAAATAAAAAGTTCATAAATTTTAATCAAAAAAATAAATAAAAAAACTTATGTTTTAAAATATATTTCCAATTCAAATTGACCAATTACTTTGTAATTTGAAAATTCATAACGAGCATAATAAAACTCTAAATAAACTGCTCGGACATACCAGAATTTGATACAATACGAAGAACCAACATATATAAACATGAATGACATTTAAAATTGAAAAATTCTACCTTTATATAGAGAGAGCAATGCATATTATATATTTCAAAAAAATAAATTTATTTTTGAAGAATTATCTCACTCATTCACATAGTTTTAACCTAATAGAATTATAGCTACATTTGTCCAATAGACCCCAAAACTAAATAAAATTTGTTTTCATATTAAACATAAATAAAGGTCACTTTTACTAAACTTTATCCCTTCAAGAATAAATAGGTTAAAGAGAACTCCTTTAATGGCGATGAGCCCGAAGATCCCTACACACAGTCATCCTTTTCAGTTGAGTTGAGAGCTTTTATTCTACTTTCTTCATCGCTTTTTCTCCCTTTTCAACTCTCCCTTCCCCTTTTCTCTTCACGCCTTCCCCGTGAGCCGCCATACTTGAATTACACTGAACAGAAAACGCAGATAAAAATCGAATCTTGATGCGCGTACAACAATGGCGTTGATCGGAGGAAATCGTGCCCGCAAAGGACCACCCGTTGCGGGATCGTTTTCGAAGATGGGTCTGTTCTGCCTTCGAGCCCTTTGTTTCTCAGCCCACGACTCGTTCACGGCCGCCATGGAAGCCTTCTCCGAACACCCGGTGATTTAGCCTCCCCTTTTCTTCTCCCTTTCCTTCCATACTCGACTCACGAATCAATCGTCAATTTGTGTTCTTCATGGAATTCGAATTGTTTCACGAGCCAAGACCGGTGCCCGACGAGCCCGACGCCGTCGAGAAATCGCCGTGCGGCCGCTTCATCCGTTTCGAGCAGATCCTGGGCAGGGGAGCCTTCAAGGACGTCTACAGAGGCTTCGATCGGCTCACCGGCGTCGATGTCGCCTGGAATCAGATCTGCCTCGGCGACGACGACGACGACAAAACCCTAAAAAATTCCCCGGAAATTCAGGCCCGTCTGTGCGCCGAGGCCGTCCTGTTGAACTCCCTCTCCCACACAAACGTCATGAGGTGCTATGCTTACTGGGTCGATTACCCGAACAAGACGGTGAACCTGATAACCGAGCTTTTCTCCTCCGGGAGCCTGAGGCGGTACATGAAGAAACTCGGCGGGCTCGATTTGCAGACCATAAAGAATTGGGGCCGGCAGATTCTAGAAGGCCTTCACTACCTCCACGCCCAAACTCCCTGCATCATCCACAGGGATTTGAAGTGTGACAACATATTCATCGACATCGCCAGCGGCAAGGTCAAGATCGGAGATTTCGGGCTGGCCACTAAAATGGAGTCTGCTCCGGCCACTGTCCTCGCAGGCACGCCGGAATTTATGGCCCCCGAGTATTATGACGAGGAGTACAATGAGCTTGTGGATGTGTACGCTTTTGGTTTGTGTTTGATGGAGATGATGACTTTGGAGTATCCTTACTGCGAGTGCACGAACCCGGCACAGATTTTCAAGAAGGTCTCGAATGGCGTGAAGCCCGCTGGTCTGGAGAGAGTGAAGGATTTTGAAGTGAGGCGTGTTATCGACAGGTGTTTGTTGCCGGCTTCTCTGAGGCCGTCGGCTTTTGAGCTGCTAAAGGACCCGTTTTTCTCGTTCGAGGAAAATTCAATGGAAATTGTGCAAAATATTGGAGCCGGTTCATTTGGACATGAGGAAGAACAAAGCATGGGGATCAAAAGTTGGTGTGAAGATGCCTCGATTGTTTCGGGGATATCCATGCTGTACAATTCGATCTGCCTGTCGGGTGGTGGGGGAGGTCAGGGGTATAATGGTAAATTAGGAAACTCGGATGTCTCGATGAATTCGAGAATCACATTTGCTTCGTCGTCTGGTGATGTGTCGAAGGATTTCACATTTGTCTAAACCGTTCTGTTGTGGAGAATGACATGCTTCTTCTAGCTGGCTATTTTTTTTTTTATAATAATTAGATTGAAGTAGGGTTCTTGACTTCTTTGTGTAAATACTAAATAGGCTTCTTGGGAATTTTGAAAGTGTTGATCATTATTTCATTAATGATTTTAATGTTTATCTATGTGATGAATGAATTTTTAAGGTATGAAAAGAGTATAATGTGCTTGGATGATTATATCTGCAAATCATAGATGCAACATAAAGTTTCAACGGCTTATTGCATTGTACAGAGAGGCAATTTTTTGTTGATACTCTGAATCAGTAGCGATTGTTTGGATGATTTTCAGGACACACGATAGCCCCCACAAATGAAAACGGACTTTTCTAAGAAGTCGTTTTAAAGTGGTTTTTCTCCTTCAAACTCTCGACAGTCTCCTTGATGCTTTCTCGTAAAGGAGTGAATTTGATACCTAGGCTTTTCACTCTCTCTTCGAGACTTGGTAAGTAGGCATGTACGGCTTGTTATTCGTATGCCTAATCAAGAACAAATTGAAAAACTACAATGTTTTATGCTCGATTTCGGAGAATAGAACCAAGACATGAAATTGAACTAGGATAAGGACTTACATTTCTGGAAGTTGAAGGTTTGGATACAATTCATGCAATATCTTCACGATTTCTGAATAGTGTGCAACGCTCTCGACCACACAGTATCTTCCACTAGCCGAAGGATTTTCAAATGCCTGAATATGTGCAGTAGCAACATCTTTAACATTCACCCAACCGATTGCAGCATTTGGATATGTTTCAGCACCTGCAATTGCAGATGAAATATCGGTAGAGACTAATTAGTTAAAATCTTGCAAAATATTTGTTTTTTTCTTTTTCTTCGAAACAAAATAAGAAAATTTTGAAAAACCCCCACCGTTTATCAAGTTCAAAATTACAGCCGAGCTCAAGTTAAGATTCGGCTGCAATGATGGACCGATTACCATTGCTGGGTTTATAGAGATCATTTCGATGCCTTTCTCTTGTACGAACTTCCAAGCAGCATCCTCGGCCAATGTCTTTGAAAGGAAATACCATTTCTGATATAGGAGCAAAGATTCAAGAAAAGGGGGAAAAAAAGAAAGTGAAGGGCCAAAAAAGAAGCAAAGATTTGCAAGCAATGACCTTTATTTTTCTGCAAAACTCGATATCTGACCACCAGGTCTCGTCAACTACCACTTGAGGTGTCCGAGGCTCGCCATTGAAAAGAACTGCTGCTAAGGAAGATGTCAAAACGACCTTTTTAACAGACGGTGTTTTTGCGCACGATTGGAGAACGTTTAGTGTCCCCTTTAGGGCAGGATCAATTAGTTCTGCCTATATAGGATACATGAGTGAGAAATTTTGTGAAGTTATAATGTTAAAAAAAAAATCATATTCTGTTAACCAGACTAGAAAAGTTTCCATGAACCTGTGGATCTGTAGTTGACAGCAAATATGGAGAGGCAGTGTGAAAAACACCATCACAGCCATTAACTAGAGCATCAAAGGACCCATCTTGCAATAAATCTGCTTTAATTAAGTGAAGCCTCTCGTTGGCTCCATCAAGCGCTAGCAAGTGCTCCGTCTTCTCTGGATCATCTGCCGATTATCTCATATGCACATTAAATTTAAAGAAAAAAACTGTTCATAGAAACAAGCTTGTTAGAGAGTTTACTGAACTGATATCACGAACGGAAGCTTTGACAACATAACCGCGTAGGAGCAAGAACTTGACGATCCATGAAGCAATATAGCCTGATGCCCCTGTTACACACACTGTCTTCATGAGAGGGATGATCAGTTACTATCAGTCAGTGTGTAAGGTTGTTATGAATTTTATATTTTTATTGTCCAACTTATAAGACCCACATATTCACCAACTTCTGCTTGAGTATACTAAACAAGTCCAATAATAAACAAATGAAAATGAAATTATTATTATTATGTTTATCTTATGCTTTTTTTTTTTTTATAAAGACCTTTCATTTTGAAATAAATAAAGAAATAAATGTTATTAAACATTACAATCAAAGTATTTTAAAATTCATTGGTGTAGATGACATATACTATTGCTGCCTTTGTTATTCTTATTTTTTTCTTATTTTTGGTTATTATATTCATTATGTCACAACTAAATGAAGTTGATATGAAAACGAAAACAAAAGGAGCCAAAGAGTAAGCTGAATTTTGAAATTACACATTATTATAACGAAACAAAAGGAGCCAAAGTTTGGTTTTTTTGCACACGACTGAAGCACATTCAGAGTCTCTTAACATTGTGAATTACTTATCATATTTATTTTAAATTAAAACATGATCATACTAACCAACTTACAGCTCACGAACTCAAAGGATTTGCACCATGGGCTTCTACCCATAGGCAGAGACTCTAATTCCGCTAGGCTAAACGTTCGTTTTTTTCTGGCAGTTTTGCCGGTGTTTTGTGGTCGGTTGTTGGTTGTGGGTGTCGGGTGTGCGGGGAGCCTCTGGGAGTGGGGGATGTCCATTTGGATTGGGGTTGTGTGCGTGGTGCCGGACGTGGTTAGGCGTTTTCTGGCAGTTTCTGGGTTGGGTTCCATGGGTCCGTCCTCGTCCGTGCAGATGGATGTCGTTTGTTTTCGTTGCTGGTTAGATTGGCTAGACTTTCATTGCGGGAAGGGTGGGTGTTATGTTGTTCTAGTTTTTGTTGGTTTTGTGTGCTTTTAGTTTAGTTTTGCTGATGGGTGTCTTGTGGGTTTGTTGCCTTGTGGGTTGTGTTTTGTTTTCTCCTCTCTTTGAGAGTGTGTTATTCTCTGGGAGCTTGTGTTATTGTTATTCTCCTATTGAGAGCTTTTATTTGTTTTTCCTTTTCGTCTTGTAGTGTGTGTTATAGTATTTAGGCTTGTCTTGAGTAGTGCTCCCATTACGGTTAGTTAACCGATTGTGATTATGTGTATCGGTTAATGAATCTGCCTCCTTTTTTTTTTGGTTTTAAAAATTTGGAAGGCAGCCACAAGTTCACTGTCGCAATAATATAAGCTATAACCTTTTTATAGAAAAAAGTTCAGTATAAAATGGACAAAAATAACAGCATCCGTGGAAGATGAAAATGTGTGACAGTTGCACATTATTAACATAACCAACATAACATGTGTGACAGTTGCACATATTAACACAACCAACATAACAAGATTTCAGAAAACAGCACACCAAAACTCAGAGTTCAAAACGGCACAGTCAAGTAAGCGCAGGCTAGGCATCCTCGAAGAAACCCTTCTCCTTCAAGCTTTCAACAGTATCTTTGATCGCTTGTTCAAGAGGCGTGAACACAACACCAAGTTCTTTTGCTTTTCCAGTGTTCACTTTGTAATTCGGCACGAGTGGCTTTCCATCAGCCGTCCTGTAAACCAATAAATTTCTCAATCACCAAATGAACAACTCTGATGTTCAAGTTTTCTTCTGATCGTCTGAGTTATGTCATGTCTTACACTCCGGCTAATCCACACTCAAACTCCACTCGGGCTAACGTGTTAAACAGCCGCCACTCCTATTTTTTTCTCTGGCTTTCCTAATATTATAAGTTACTGGAATACTTTATGCTCCTACATTTTTATATTTTTTCAGTAAATATTTCAAGGAACTCCCTTCGTTATTTCTACTTTCATACTAATGTTGCTAATACCAAAATGTTTCTGCTATTTTCCTCCAAGTCCCGAGCAATCCGGATGCAAGTTTTCCATGATAAAGAAAATCAGTATACTACTCTCAACACTTCAATCGACTATATCTAAAGATTACAAATCAAGGACTTACTTTTCCGGATATTTCAGATGAGGACAGAGTTCGCGCAGTATCTGCACAAGATCAAAGGGTCGAGCACACCTCTCGACTATATAATATCTACCATTAGCCTCGGGTTTCTCATACGCCAAAATGTGTGCATCAACCACATCTTTCACGTGTACCCACCCATATGCAGTATTTGGATAAGTCTCAGAACCTGTAAATTGGAGTAGAATGAGGAAAGACTTCTGAATTAGAAAGAAGTTATAATTGTAACAGAACAAATTAAAAACAAAGTTAGATCAATCATCAGCAACAAAGAATGGTGTGATGCTCAAGTACAGGTCAAATTATAAATAAGAATCATATGTAAGGCATCCCAACATCGTTTAAACACCGGTTAACTTACATATCATTCGATCTAAAAGCTGGCAATATGAAATCACTAAGAATAATTTAATTTATTTTTTTTTTCAGCTGACGACATTTATTTTTCTCAAGTGAACCAGGTAACATCAGACATCATGAGCTATAATTTGAACTGTCCGAGGGAGAAAAAAAAAAAACTACCTTTTAATAAGGACAAAATCTGACCACAACTAGTGTTGAGTGTAGGCTGTAACATTGGACCAATCACACAACAAGGATTGATCGAAACCAAGTCGATGCCATTTTCCTTTGCAAACTCCCAAGCAGCACCCTCGGCCAATGTTTTCGAGAGCAAGTACCACATCTGATGGAGGTCAACTCAACATCAATAATGGGAGAAAATAAAAACAGTCACATGGTATTTTTTTTTCTTCTTGTTTCATACAAGAGAGAAAAAAAAAAGAACATTTACCTGCTTTTCTTTGCAGTAATCAGGGTCCGACCACCAAGTCTCTTCGATGATTGTGTCGGATGTTCGAGGTGTACCATTGAAAGCAATTGCGGCTTCGGAAGATGTCAAAACAACTCTTTTGACAGACGGTGTTTTCGCGCATGATTTGAGCACATTGAGCGTCCCCTTAACTGCAGGGTCGATCAATTCTTCCTGGACGAAACATAACAAAAATGAAGTAATCGTACAACAAATATGATCAAGTGAGTAAAAAAGAAAAAAGAAAAAATCTATGATACATGAAGAAATTAGTTGGCAACTGAGACAAAACAGAGAAAGCAAACCGACATTTTCTTATGTTCGTGAGGCCGAATACAAAACGTCGAGTTTCAACCAAAATACACTCATGATCTAAACACTGTCACGAGCTCGATAATTAATATATCTGAGAGAGAGAGAGACCTGGGGATTTGAGGTTTCAAGGAAGAAAGGAGATGCACAGTGAAAGACACCTTCACACCCAGCAATGGCAGTATCGAAGGAACCTTCTTCCAGAAGATCTGCCTTCAACAGTTGAAGTCGATCTTCGGCTCCATCAAGTGATAGCAGATGATGTGTTTTCTTAGGATCATCTACAGTGTGTAGACTACATATTCAGCGAATGATCATGATTTCTATTAAAAAAATCGTTATATTTGTATCAAAATCCAAAGTTTAGGTCATATTATCGGTAGATTAAGACCAATCCTGTGATTATAATCCACAGAACGAAAGGATGACAGTGTGAATTTCCAATGATGATCACCTAATCAAACAGCCATTTTTCCCCCCAAATATTTGATCTGAAAATTTCAGGGAGATGCTATGTGCCGTTACGCTACCATTCCGTCGGGTTTGCAACCGTTAGATCAACTATCTCGACGGTCACATGATAAATCTACCGGTTACAAACCCCAACCCCAACGTATGCTTCTGTACGGGACCATAGAAGCATTTCCCAAAATTTCAACTCCAAATGAAAAGCACCAAATAACTCTGAAGATGCACCTCTTAAGACCATAATCAAATTTCCTAAAGCAAAATAAAAAGTAAAATCGAGAGGGAAAATGCGCGCGTGCACACACAGATGAATAATAACCAGTTAGTTACCGGGATAACGAACGGAAGCTTTGACGGCGTAACCACGGCGGAGCAATTCTTTGATAAGCCAAGAGGCTATGTAGCCTGATCCGCCGGTGACGCACACCGTCTTCAACGCCATGATTTTCTGAGCACTGGTAGGTAGACCTTTGTTCTTGCTGCGTGTGTGTGTGTGTGTGTGAGAGAGAGAGAGATATGGGACTGACTAGTGAGTGAAAAAAAGAGAGAATTTTCAGAGTATAAGAGCAACTTTAATGCTAGGTTTGAGTAAGGTTTGTAAACCTCACTTTTTTACATTTTCCACTAAAGTTGTGAGTTTGGGCTTTAGAATTTCAATCCCGTGCTGAACATTCAACACCCACAAAAACCTCACTTTTTGGCCCCACAATGCTACACATGTTCCCTTTAGTATTTTTTTTTTTTTTTCCTTATCTAATTTCATGTTTTTTTTCCCAACTTACCTAATTTAAGTGTTATATTATTACATAATTTCTATATGTAATAAAACTTTATTTTTTTATTTTATTAAATTATAAAAATATATAAAAATAATAGTAAAAAATAATATAAAATTTAACTAAATGTTGGACATATATAGAATGAACCTAATTATTAAGAATAATACATCGATCATGTATGAAAATTTTAATTTTTATCGCCATGTAATTTTTTATATTTTATATTATTGTACGGTTTATGTATAATAATTTTTTCTTATTATTATCGATCTGTAACCTTTTATGTTTTATATTATTGTAAGGTTTATGTATAATAAATTTTATTTATTATTTTTTTTTTTGTTTTAATTATGCATAAAATATATTTATTATGATATATAATAAATATGGTAATAAATATGGTATTGTAAAAAAATATAAGTAAAGTTTTTAGTAAGTATGAATTAAATTGGTATATAAATTAAATTAAGTAGGAAACATGTGGGGCTCACTAAATAAAGGTTTGTGAGGTTTATGGTTATTGGAGGTTTGTGATATTGGGAGTAAGAATGAGGTTTAAATGATGTGGATTATTGAGAATGTAAAAAGTAAGGTTTAAAAACCTTTGCCATTAAAGATGCTCTAAAGAATATAGTATTTTATTTTAAACCGGAATAATAGCACACAGTTTTCCATAGACGGAAAGGCAAACCCGCAAATACGTGTGACAGGGCCTTTTGTGAGACATTTTTTTTTTTTAAATGGGACATGTGTCCCATTTTTATTGGGCAATGAAATTCATATATCATATTATATAAATTAAATTATCATTCATATTTTGTATCAAAAAATAAAAATAAAAATAAAAATATCAAAATTCATAATTTTTCATTCTCTACAAATAGAGACTACATTTGATACTTTTTGGAACACAATTAATTTATTATTTTTTACAATTAATTTATCTTGTCGAAAGATTATGACATTAATATATAATTAGATGAATATGTTACGTAGTAAGATGAACATGTCATAGAATAAGCTGAAAATGTTACATTTTCACAGATGAAATTTAGATGAACATGTATTAAAATAAGATGAACGTGTTACATAATAAAATGAACATGTTACATAATAAAATGAACATGTTATAGAATAAGATGAACATGTTACATACACAATAAGGTGAACATGTTATAAAATAAGATGAATATGTATTATTTCAATTTGCAATCTGTAACATGTTCATCATATTTGAAAACATATTTATTTTATTATGTAACATGTTCATTATATGTCAGTATAATAAAACAATTATGAAAAAACGAAAAATTAGTTGTGTTCAAAAACCTATTAAATATGGTCTCTATTTATAGATAATGAAAAATTATGAATTTTAATATTTTATTTTATTTTTTTAATATAAATAATTAATGATATTTTATTTTATGTAATATGTCTTATTTTTCAATTAAAAAAAATAGGAATGTGCACTACATTCTTCAAATTTTCTTATTTTTGGGGTGAGGGATGCGCGTACAAAATTGTCCTGGCACACCTAGCTAAGTATGTCAGGACAAACGGGAGTGCTATTGAAGGCAAACCAGCTTGAACATTTGAAGACGTGACCATTCTTGCTTGTTTTGTCTGTTTTGTCAAAAGTTCACAAATCAAGAAACAAAAAGTTTATGATATGATTACATCTTTTAATCAGTGCGTAATGTAGGGTCCAGCAAAAGGAAAAAGAATGTAGTACTTTGGTGGACGCAGCATTATTGAAAGAAGAAAAA